ATATATATATATATGTGTGTCTCTGCGTTTGTCTCTGTGTGTGTGTGAGTGTGAGTGTGCGCGTGCGTCTGCCAAGATGATGGAATGCATGTGCGTGGGTTTGTACCTGTATACGAATAATTATAGTTGTGTATGTAATTATGTCTGTGTATATATATATACATATGTATGGGCACGCAAACGGGAGCAATGTTTATACGCTCAAACGTACAAGCCTTCACACGTACATAGTCATGTTTTTCATGCGGATATACATGCCTGCCTGTGTGTTTGCATGCGGGTGTGCAGCTTTGTCCTGTAGTTTCTGCAATTGCGTATCGGTGTGGTGGTTATCTCTCATTTTATTGTTCCGTCTCAATGTTGCGTCGTTTTGCCGATCCAATTCCCTCCACTACCACTGACTATCATGATTGTCCCTTGCAGCAGGTATCCCCTCAGATGTCTTTGCCGTTGACTCATTCATGTTATCTAGACTGCTGCGCCTGCTTCACCTGATTGGCACGTTAGTGTTTGTGTTTGTCGCTGTGCTGCTTTTTGTCGTCATGGTTGCGTGTATTTACGCGTGTCTGGTTGTACTTGATGCGTTGTCTTGGTAGCGATTTGCACCTGGTTCATGTATTTCGAACTGCCGTCAGATGTGTTGCATCGAGGTGAAGATGTCCGGCGACACTATCGTCCGTCTCTTCTCGATGACAAAGTGCCTGGTGGTCTAGGGCTTAGTCTCTGTTGTTGATTTTGGAATTGCACGTAGATGCACACTCTTGTAAAACAGAGCTTAGCCTAAAGATATAGTAGGCTTGGGAAAGGAAATCTCAGGCATAAGATCCAGAGCAATATCAGGATGATGGACGATTCGGGTTTTCAGGCTTTGGCACAAAATGACATACATCTGCATATATATGAACCGCCTAGGCGAAACCCAATCCAAACCCTTGCACCTAAGCTAAAGTCACCAGGGCTTATGCTCTAAGCCCGGAGTTCGTGGCCGTGGATTCGTTTACCGTTCAGGGCCGAAGCAAGGGTCCTTGGGGAAACTCTGCACCGGGAGCACTGAACCACAACGGCCCCTCCTAAGCCCTGACTTCGGGGCTCAATCCAATCCTGAAGTTCAGAATCAAAACCCCGACTTGCGGAAGCCAGGCCGCGGCTTTCTGCACGTACCTGGAAGAACCCAGCAGGCAAGGCTTTCGTGTTTGAAATGCTTCGCTGGGTATGCGAGACGAAATAGAGCCCCGGAGGCAGCCTGACGGGTCTGCCAGCTGGAGGGTTTCAAGAAGTCAGTCTCAGCAGAACTCACTCCCCTGTGCCACTGCATAATCGTGACAGCGCCGTCGTCACAGTAGCAGTGGTCGTAGCCGTCGTCGTCGGTAGCCGTAGTAGTAGCAGCGGTACAGTGGCAGTTGTGCTGTCTCTCCTGTCAGTAGTGCAACTGATGCGCCGGACGATAGTCGCTCGTCTCTGGGAACCGAACTTACAGCCAGCTGGGCAACCAGCTTCATGTTGGGTGTGCGAAAAGGGAAGCGAACCTAAGGCCGAAACTCTAGCGGACTGCTTCCACGATCATGGCTGCCCCAGCCATCGTCATCATGTTCATCCTTCCTGTGCTGAACCCTGATTCAAAAAGCACCTTCTTCATAACAGTGTATGCCCAAGAACAGCAGGAGTTTTTTGGTGGATTTTGCTTCTAACAGGCTAAGACTTGAGACTCTGCAGGCAAATCGACCTCGACGATCCCGTCAGCAAGTGCGCAAGGGGTTAGGGCTTTGTCTTATGCTACTCATAGTAGGTAGGAATGATGTTGCGTTTTCATAATTCACGGGATGGTGCGCAGAAGCTTTGTGTGTGGCCAAGCTTGTTCTGAGCGCGTTGCCTGTCAGCTATGTTCGAGGCGAGCTGGTCACGAAATTGGACAACTTTCGCCTAGGCGTCCCTGTGAAATTGTCGGTCGTGGGGCTGTGAGTAACCTGGAGAACGAATGTCATGATGATGTGGCACCAGCCAGATACACGGTGCTGAGCTGATCTTTTGTTCCAAGCTTCATTTTGACCCTCAATCGAACAAGGTGTTAGGAGAACTTGAAGGAATCAGCCGTTGAGATTGAACTAGCGAGCTCTAGGCCCAGGCCGCAGTCTTAAGCTTTCTGCTTTTCGCAAAAATGTTGCATATCTTGTCGGGTCATTCTGGCCAGCCATTGGCTGTTAGGCCGTCCACTGGCCTGCAATTCAGGGAAATGCTGGCATGGAGCCGCTATGGACATACCGCAAGGCATTCTGGATCAAGCCACACGAGCCGTTGAAGCATGCAAGCAAGCAAGTTTGTCACGAGTTGAAGCTATAGCCATATTTACATGCTCGGGTTAGTCTTGCCTCACTCAACGATAAACTGCGAGCCGTCTCTTTGACATGGGTGCCGTCAAGTCGGTATTCTCTGCTGGAAAGGGTTTGGCAAACCTGCTGCTTCGATCATCCAAGAGCAAGGTGGACAGGGACAAGTTTGACCGCGCATTCTCCAAGTATCCACCAACAGCATCGCGGACGTGGGGGTTCCAGAACAGCAATGCTGCTCTATATGCGAATGACAGCTGGTTCTCCACGCAGAAGCGCATCCGAATGAGCGAAATCAACCGGTTTATCGGCCTGAGGCCATATCCCGCAAAACCTGCCGGAAAAGCTTTTCGCCCTGGCGATTACAATCTTGTCTGGGGAAATCCGGAGAGATATTACCGGGGCGATGCTCAAGACCAGAACTACAGCCTGCAGTTCCTTGGGGTCCCAGTAAGCAAGCTTTCATCAAGCACACTTGTTCATCTGTGTCTAAAAGGAACCTGTTCCCGAAGCTTACAGTTTCCTCCATCAGAGAGCAGCAGACCGAAGGTTTGCGAACCAGCTGCATCACGACGTTGGAACGGTGGGAGTGGTTTGTGCCTCTGCGCTGCCTGGCCAGGGTCGGCCTAGACTTCGACCAACACCGAAACAGCTGGCAGACTTCTTGTGAGATTCACCACATTGAGTTGCTAGGGTCTTTGGGTTTCGTCAGTCGGGCATTCGTCGAGCAAGTGAAGCCATGTCGTTTGGTGCACCGGCACAGAGAGTCCTATGTCAAGGCAGGAAGCCAAAGGTGTGGACTGTCTAGGAATGTCGCCAAGCTGCTGGTCTCAGGCAAAATCAGAGGCCTGGTCAGGATTCCTGGCTTGCTGCGGTGTAGTTATAAGTTCTAAGCCTTGCCGTAGCTTGAAGCTCCGCCCCGAGCCTGGACCCGGCTGTCACTGACCCTGGCAGACCTCATCGAGAACCGCTTAACATTCAGATTCATTTCGCGACTTTGGGCATTGAGATGTCCTGCAGGCCCGCGCACATAAGCCCTCTAGATTGTCTTGAGGAGCGGTTCAAGTCATGGTTTAAGGAGAGCAGCAAGCTCAAACCAAGCTCTGCAGAGCCCTGTAATCAAATCCCCTCCCATGGTTCATGGCCTTGGCGACGCCGCCGGCGCGCCCGACTTTGGCTGGGGCGCCGCTGGTGCCCAGTGGAACTGTGAGGCTCAAGCTTGCGGGCTGTTGAATCCGATCATATCAGCCCATGATGATGACATGGGGTTCAGGTTTTTGGAGGCTTCTTTGCTCGTTATGACACCTTTAGCCTTTCAGCACTTTGGGGATGAAGGCCATTTTCCCAGAATTTCTCAAAAACGAAGTCGCTTGCCAGGAACCAGCGGGCTCGGGGATGGGTCGCCTTCCAGAGCTCGCTGCTCCTGCTCAGCCTCGGTTGCCGGCCCACGAGGTCCGGTTTTTAGAAGAGTTGAGAGGCTTCCTTCCTGCTGAGCGCAGCGCAGCCACATGCCGTCTTCATGACCTCACCGTTACAATCAGCGATCTCGTCACCAAAACCAGCAGCTGCTTCTCGTCTTCCTTCTCGCGCATCCATAGCAACAGTAGTTAGCAATGGCACCACAATTGCGAACAAGCCTCATCTGCGTCAATTTATCGCATTTGGCAATGAAGATGAGTTGCAGCACGACTCGTAGCTTCGCCACCCCTTTTCCAACATTGCTGATCACCAACATCCTCAACATCACAGTGGTCACCGTCATTGCATATCATCGCCCAGCCGTTGAATATCGTTGTCGCCATGGTTTTCGTTTCATGATCGCCTGCCACTCTCGCGGGCCTCTCCGCTGCAAAGGTTTCATCTCTGCCGTCATCATCAGTGCTGACCACCGGCCACCACAACTGCCGCAATGTGCCCATGCCACAGTGCTACCACCACCACCATCGTCGTTCTAAGCAGTGCCTACGACGCCAGCTAGACATGCAACACAGCCAGTCATCAGAAATATCATAGCGCAATCACCATCGTCATTCCTACCGGTAGCCTCAAAGCTCGAACCAGCAGCTGATGAGTACCTACCGCTAGTGGAAGCCACGGGTCGCATTGAAGACACACTTAGGCCAAGCAAACGAAGAAGCATCCCGTAAACCTAAACCGTAACGGCGTTTACTGCCACGTGCTGTTTCTTCTGCAGGGATTTTCGTTTGTTGACCATCTTTTCGAGCTTGTGTTGGCCTGGCATTGCGCCTCAAAGCCGTGTTGAGTTTGGCTGATGCCTCGGTAGAGTGTGGTGAGTGTCGCCCCATCAGAATCAATCCTGGTACACACTTGCGGTAGAGAGCTGGAATCATCTTCGAGCAATGTTCATGTGGAGAAGGTTTGGTCGAAGGGGGGCACTAGCGGCGACAAGCTTCCAGGACGCAGCGCCAAGCCCGCACCATGACGGGCTTCGGCTACGCCTCATGGCTGCTTGATGGTTTTTGCAGGATGCATTGCCGATCACCTGAGTATACATGATTGTAGGCTCAACCCGATGGAGATGTGACAGTTTGCCCGCATGCCCCGCATGCCCGCCGACCACTGCCACTACCCAGAACCATGCACCAAACCTGTTTTGAAAACCTTGCTCGGTGCTGTCTGAGATATGCCACCTGCTACGTCAAGCTTCCGGTTTCAAACCGGCACGACCCATCCTGACCATGTCCTGAATCGATTCCGATCCGATCCGAATCCCGTCCAAAGCATCGGTGGAAGTAGGCAGACGCATCGCGAGCAACTTCGGCGAACAAAGTTTCGGGCCTCAAACGTCCAGATTCGCAAAGGTCTCCCGAATCTTTCCGCGCTTCTTCGCTGAACTGACACCCCTTGTTTTGATGACGAGTGTAGGGTCGTAGAGTCGAGAGGTAAGGCCCTAAACCCGGCACAGAACAGGGAACACTTCAGGTCTCCCGGGAGGATCACCAGGTTCCTGTGTGGGGCGTTTGTTCTCAGACTCTGTCATTTCCTGGCTTGAACATCAAAACGGGATGCTGATTTGGCTTCGTGTGCGGGCCTCCCTATAAATGGGCCTAGAAAACGGCTCGTGTCCGAGAAGGTGCTTAAAGGGGACAGCAGAGGGCGTCGAAGCCAATTCCTGACTTAAGACACCCTAAAGACTCAGGCAGAGCTCCTGGGTGCCTCGACTGAGATCTGAAAGTCGGACTGGCGACATCTAGAACCGGGGTAATTTGGGTGTTTCACCAAAGAAGGGGCCCGAATCAATATAGACAATCCTCACTGTAAGGAACCTGCAGAGAGCGCTCCCGAATTTCAATGTTCGAGTCTCGGGCATTCTGAGTGAGTCCTGGATGGCCCATGTTGTTTCATGGCGGTTGCATCAGGCATGCGATTTTTCGGTTCTCTTGCTAAAGGGGCATCTGAGGTTTGGGCACTTGTCTATGCTTTAGGGATCCACTGCAAATCGCTGACCAAGCAATTACATCCCAAGAACCACCGGTCACTAGAGGATCAATGCGGTAGCAGCGACGAGCATGGATGGAGAGTTCTTTGTCCTTGTTGTTTGCTTGGTTTGGGTCGGGGGCATGCCCGAAAGATCTCTGAAAGCCCGGACAAGGCCGCTTGAGGGATGCCGCAGAGCTCGGCGATGTGGAGGCTGCAGAAGCTTTGCTCCAGGAGGCATTGGAAAGGCACCGGCCCGGGAATGTTTTGGTTAGGGCTTAGGGGTTTTGTGGTCTCAGAGGTCTGGCAGTACACAGATGTCCGGTGTAAGTGTAAGGTCACCTGGAAAACGGACATGCTTTTGTGTTCTTGAGGCAAGATCTTGGCCCAGTGGTTCCCACGCTTGCACACACAATTAACGCATGACTCCGTCGGGCAGTTGGAGGGGTTCTTCAGTCTGTTGCTGTTCATCGGGATCCATCTTGGGTTGGCCGTTCCGTTTTTGATGTTCATTGAGACTCGAGAAGCCTTTCCGACTTGTTGCCAAACACCAAAGATATCACCGACCTCTTGCATGTCATGACTATTGGTATGCGCTTGCTTGTCCTGCAGTAGGAGACCAAGGCCCCAGGGGTTGAAGAGTACTTCAGAGAAGACCGCCGACATCCCATAGACTCTGAGGCTTCAGTCCAACCCCGGCAGGAGTCTTGCAAAGATTCATCGCCCTTCGAGAAGCAACTTGTGGCATTCGGCTTACATGTCACGATGGCTCAAGATACCCCGTATGTTCTTGCCTTCCGAAGATGTTGAGCCCACTGGCTTCCTTCATTCACGCTTGGAGTAGGGGTCAGCACCACCCAACCAAGAGTTCACCACCTCGATTTTAATTGATTATTCGCGCGGACCTCGTTGCCATGGGATCTGCTTAGTGAATGTGGCCTGCCTCTCCTCTACCATGGATTCAGGCGGCAAGGCTGAATGGTGATGACAGCCCATCTACTACGACTACTACTGCTACTGCCACTGCTACTGCTACTGTGCTACTGCCACTACTACTACTACTACTACTACTACTACTACTACTACCTGCACTGCCGTTTGCTATCTTTAATTGTGTATCGAAAGATTTCGGTGACAAGTCCTAGGGAAGTGCTCGGGCATGGAAGAATCGCTCGTTATTATGGAAAAGTGCACGGGGGGAGTGAGCCGGGGGGATTGTATGTATCGGTACACACACCAAAGTCACAGCTGCAGCTGATCCTGATCCTTTTGGCCATCGATGCGGCACCGCAGGTGCCGGGGC